ACTGGGAACCTTGGCTTGGTAGATTTGGGTCTTGGCCAACTAACAAATCTAATGATTGGTCCGCTTGGGTTGCTCGGCTGGAAAAACCCTTTAGGAACACATGGAAAACACTGGGTCTGTATGAATTTATTCAAATGACTACCTACCAAACGTCCATGGATAGGGTTTTGCTTGGAACTACCTTGCTGTTTTGGTCTGGGTCTTATAATTGTTTTCATTTCCCTTGCGGTGCTATGTCTGTCACTTTGCTTGACATTTGTTCTCTTACTAGTCTGCCTTGCGTTGGAGAAGTTATTGAGCGTCCCGGGTGTTGATTTTGACACAAAATCCATTCTACCCTCCTACAATGCCTTTATTAAAGCTAGCCAGCAACCATCTGAAGCCCCAGATCTGAGAGAACATACTGCATTTCTGCTAACCTTAATTTGCAAATTCATTGTCTGTGTAGCTGGAAAAGGACCCACCAAGGAGTATATTACTCTGGCCTTGGCTTTAGCTCATGGTAGGCGTCTGGCGCTTGCTCCATTTCTGTTGGCTAGCCTTTATCGAAGCTGCTATGATGCTATTGTTTATCCGTTCAGCCTCTGTTGTGGTCTTTTATGGCTTTGGTTGTACTGTTATTTCCCAACTTTGGCTCCTATTCTCAAGCCGCTGCCTACTGAAAAAATTCTTACTTATGGCATGATTTACAAAGATGCCACATTTGAAGACCAACCTATTAGGACTTATGAGACTTGCTTCCAATTTTTTGCTTCCCTCTCCATCGATAAACCAAGCCGGCAATTAGGCTATTGTCAAGGAATTCCAGTACCTCCCATGTTCTCTTTCAACCACTGCTTCCCTCTTCGCGACACCATGAAAGGACCTAGTGTGGTCTCCAAGTGCTTAGCCACTTCAATGCTTGCTCTCCAGAATATAAACCTCCAAGATCCGCCATTCAAACCAAAATGCACTATGGCGTACAAGGAATGGTGGAAGTCTTATTTTACGCCAAGTTTTTCTGGTGTGGCCAAGAACTTTATCAATCTTCTTCCTTCTTCACATTCCAGCTAACCTGCAGTAAACATAGAACCTTAGATTGATGATACAATCCCAGATTCTGTTGCTTCACGTCGCACTTTGGCAAAAAGAAGGGCAATAGCCAAGCGGAAGGCGTCTAGCATGGCAAGTCTTGAAACAGACAAGGCATCCCACCAGGTTCCCAAAAGAGGAGGTACTATCTAATCCTAAAAAATAAACCTTATTTTAAATTTCCAATCCACAAGACATTGACTCCTCTTGAAATTCATTTACAGGTATCAAACGAGCAGCCCAAAAACCTCCTTCAGTTAAAGGGTTGGCCACAATGTCTCCATCTTCTCCCTTTGAAGCCTCCTTGGCTGTTGATGTCCGTCTGCAGGGCTTGATTGATGAAATAAATCACAATCCCATTATTAAAGACCGAATTGATAAGTCTCCAAGCCGCGAAGATTCAGACTCCTCTCCTTCAAACACCCAACAACTTTCATCTAAGACGAGAGGTTCTCGTTCTTCCTTACGGCTTGCTAACAAGAATTTCAAGACTGTCAACCCAAATGAAGTGATCGATCTCTCTCCCAACACCAAGAAGACAACCACTTCCACTACATCAACTCCATTTCAAGCCAGCTTTCCAACCCCCACAGTAAGTAATTTGTTTGTGAGAATTCACAACAAAGTCTGCCTTAAACTTTCTGTCTGTAAGCACTAATAATTTTTATAAAACAGATTTCAACTCCTCCAACTACCATTGATGATGCCATGGAAGATGAAATCTTTGCCAAGTTTGAGAATTTGACAAGTCCCCCAATGTCAAGAGAATTACGTCTGACAAGGAAAGGAAAATTGGTAATTGAGAGTATTGGCTCAGACACGCCAATACCTAGCCCAAAACAGATCAACATTGCTATCCAAACCTTAGAGGAGCTAATTAATGGAGATCCAGCAAACTTATATCGCCTTCCAGACCAGCCAACCATCATCAGCGCCGCTAAAATCTTAAGTCACTCGCCAGATTTGTCTGTAACTCAGAAAAAATTTCGGACTGACTTCCTTTTTATCTTCACAGATTTCTACAGGCGCTTTGCAGTCAAATCAGATGCTATAGAGAAAGCTGAGTCTGCCCGTAAAACTATGGATGATGAGACTGCAACTTTGGTCAACAAGAAGGCAAAATGTTTATCCATAAAGCATGATCATGAAGCTTAGCTTAAATGCATACAGACCACACAAGGTGAAATCCAGCGTCTTGAGGTAGAATTATCCAAACTCCGTGAGCAGCTTTCTTCCCAGACTCCGTGAACAGCTTTCTTCCCAAGAAGAATTTGCAAATACCTTATCTGATCAAAGGACTCAAGCATTTACTGAATTAAATTCTCACATCAATTATGCCGCCACTTTGCAGTAGAATCTAGAGAGGCTTACAAACTATGTTGACCAAGCTGAAGAAGAGCTCACTCTCATGAGGATGGAATGGAGTGACTGGCGCAACCATTTCCCTTAAATTTCTTGCTCATCCATTTCACTGTCTAAATCATTTCTGATTCTGCAGCCTATGGCTATCAGCCACATTATAAACTTACTTTTGAACTTGTTGATATTTTCTCTTCTTGAAAAATAATTGTAGCAAGCTCTTTCATCTTATTTTGATTTAATTCTGTTTGAGCATTGCTTGCCCTCACAGCCAAACAAGGCCGCTTGATCCATCTTGTTCTTATTTTGGAATAAACATATGAAAGCAAATCAACTTATTTGTGCACAGACAGAAGTATAAACCTGGTTCAGATAGCTTATTGTGACTCTAAGCCTCTTGCCTCCCAGACTGTAGGGTAATAAGGCTTGAGATAAATTCCATTGATTTTTCTGGGATGAAGCTCTCCATCAAGTGGCTCCAACCAATAAGCACTCCCTCTCAACACTTCATGAATTCAGAATGGTCCTTCCCAATTTGGAGACCACTTCCCAAATCTGTGATCTTTCTTGCCAAGAGGTAAAATTGCTTTCCAGACCAAGTCACCAACTACCAGATTTTTACCTTTTACCCTCTTGTTGTAAGACTTTGCAACTTTGAGTTTTTGGGCTTGCAATCTATCCAAAGCTGTCAAACGTGAATCTTCAAGGTCCTCAAGCTCAAGCATCATGGCCTCATCATATTCTCCAGACTGGAGATTATGCTGAATCATCACCCTTAAAGACCTGGCTGTTATCTCCATTGGCAAGACTACGTCATGGCCATATGTCAAGGCAAAAGGTGTCATTTTGGTTGAACTCCTTTGTGAAGTTCTATAAGCCCACAGTATTTTAGACAATAATTCATGCCAGCGTCTGGGATTGTCATCCACCATTTTTTCAAGCAAATTAATCACCACCTTGTTAGAAGCTTCCGCCTGCCCATTAGCTTGTGCATAATGAGGAGTAGAATTTAACAAACGTAAACCCATTTCCTTTGCAAATGCCTCCACCTGATGGCTGACAAAAACTGTGCCTTGGTCTGTTGTAATTGTTTCTGATAGACCAAATCTGTGAATAATGTTCTCTTTGATGAACTTGATTACATCAGATTGGTTTACCTTCTTCATTGGTTTAGCCTCCACCCATTTGGTAAAATAATCCGTTGCCACTATAATAAATGAATGATCTTTTGATGAAGGGGGATACACCTTACCAATTAAGTCAATAGCCCAGCCTCGAAATGGCCATGGTTTCACAATAGAATTAAGTTCAAAGGCTGGAACTCTTTGAAGTGGCCAATGGATCTGACAAGATTTGCAGCCCTTAGCATAAGCAATACAGTCTTTCAGGACAAACGGCCAGAAGAAGCCATGTCTGCGAAACCAACGCATCTTGATTCCAGCCTGGTGTGCACCACAAATCCCATCATGGACATCAGACAGCATCTGGAAACTTTCATCTGGACCCAGACAACGCAGCAGTAGTTCATCATTGCCTCTCCTATAAAGTACATCCTCAATTAAGACATAATTGAGAGCTTGCATTTTGGTTTTCCTAGATACCTTAATGCTTTGATCCTTAAGGTACTGAATAATTGGAAAGCGTCAGTCCGTCTG